CCTACACATAGCTTGCAAACTACATATCGCCTAGGGGCTATAAGTTTCCACACATGATGCTGTCTGTACATCTCGATACATAGATTCACAGAGCATACACAACCTTCGGGTATACATATATATAGCTTGCAAAAAACTGCACAACGCCTACGGGCTACATACACAAGCTTCCGGGTGCGTACATACATACAACTATAATATCAGGCTGAGGAGGTCTAGTCACTGGGTGGGGTCTAGAATCTGCAGTAGGTTCAGGTAAGGGGTTCCTTTTTCTTTTTTTTTTTAAACCGGCCCAGGTTACTAGTGATAATGATAAGAGCATCCATCACTAGCAGCCCGGCTACGGGCTGAATTCTATTGGTGGGGAGCTGCACCTGCTGGAAACCGGGTCCAGCATCCCTGATACAAATGAATTATAATCATGGTTTGAAGAGAGAAGTGACAAAAAGAGGACTGCCTCTTCAGCCAAAATCCGGCCGCCAGATATTCCTTGTTCGAGCTAGCAGTATTACCTCTTATCCTCCTCAAAGAAAACCTCATTCAATGTGCCGGACCCGCCGGGATGGCGGTCTGACAGGATGGAGACGAAGGGTAGACGAGGGAGGAGATAGAGATGGAGCTGGAAGGGACAGCACAGCTCCGACGCAGACTCAACACGCACGTACTCCAAGATCTGCAAAAGTGAAGAATGACGAAAAACAGACAAGTGCTGGGGTATACCCCCAGCGGACTGACTGACTGGACTGGACAGGCCTGGTACCGACAGTGGTACCGGGCAGGACTAGAACAGCACACGGCCTGTGGGGTCAGGCCACGACCTGGTCCCACAGGCCGAACTGGGCAAATAGCCAAATAGGCCCTGGCTGTAGGCCAGGGCAGATGAAGGCCCGCTGCATTCAAGCAGATACTCACACCTTTCCATACCTCATAGAAACCCTTGTATTGCACAGCAGGAAGGAATCCAGGGGGTACTAAGATGATCTGAACTTGACTCAGCACACAATTTTACCCATCTCCCACAGCATACCACTGAATATCGACCATCGCCAACTCAGAGGGGGGGAAGGGATCAAGAAAGCATTCGGGGGATCTGAGAGTGACCCCTGGTAGAAGTGAAAACCAGTCCTTGAAAATCAGGTGGAAGTCCCTCCTCCTGCACCTCCCTTCCTGGCCATTTCACTTCCCCCAAGCTTCCTCCTTCAGTTCCTCCCAGCCAGTTTAGATTGAATTGTTGAATACTACTAATAATATCCTTTTCTGCTGGAGCTGTTGTATCTTAGCACGGACTGCTAACCAATGTGTCCGTATTTTCGTTTGTACAAATTGGACTATCCGCTGAGCAAATTCTGTTCCTTCCAATTTTACATCCTCTCTTTCATATACACACCTTTTATACCGTAATACCCATAAAATAGCTTTCCAGCCAAAAAAAATTCTCTGAAATTCCGAAAGTTGTATATCAATTGGTTCCCAATGACCCAGGAGAAATGACTCTCCAATCCCATGGCCAGTCAATCCCCGTTACTGACATTCGGATAGAACTGTCTGGTGGCTATATATAAGGCTTAGACCCTAGGGTACGGGTAGGGATATAAGTCGCTCAGGCCAGTCTGAGTTCCGCCTGGCCTTGGGTAAGCTAGGGGAAGGACGATAAGACTGCTTCAGTGGGTGCTACCCTGTCTGAACCTAGGGTCCATGTCTCTTGGGGCCAGTAGTAGATTGTCTGGGCCTGACGTCCAAAGTTCCCGTTCGACAAGACTCGTCCGATTCCGCTTCCGCCAGCCCTGGTGCCTATCACTGCTGTTCGGTCCAAGTTGCCTACCCATTGGTAGGGCAATGGTCCCGAGTGCTGGTCACACTGAGGTAGGATAGTAGGATAGGGGGTGTGCTAGGAGTATTGACGTGAGGATGGGATGGGAGGTGGTCTCATATTCCAGGACACCCGCTGCTCACAGCCCCAGGCAATCACTGTGCAATCAGTGACTGGCCTCTACAACACCCTGGACTTAAAAAAAAAAAAAAAAAAAAAAAAAAAAAAAAAAAAAAAAAAAAAAAAAAAGGCTAAAAAAAAGATGGGTCCAAGCTGCATCCCACCATCTCCAAATTTTTGGCTGCCCTTTAGACAGTCCAAGAGACAGTGGTTCAGGGTGGTCACTCTGCGTGGGGTGGAACGACCGCTGCAGGAGCAGATGGGTGAGACAGCAGCAAAAGCACCCCGTAAAGGGAGCATCAGCTGACACTGTGAAGACGTGCGCACCCAAAGGCACTGATTTGGCAACAAAGAACAGGGGGGCTGAGGAAGGAGGCTGGTCTGAGAGATAAGGACCGCCCCAAGTCGGGAGTGGCGACAAGAGATACTTGCTTAGGGATGGGCGATAAGAAATACTCGCTTATCCCATTGCTCCCCTGTTGACGTGGGTGCAAGGATCAGATTGCAGCACGCAGAGCTTATGAGAAAGGCAGAGGTTTCAGGGGTCTGAAAGATCCTCCAGGCATAGATGTTGTATTTGTGAATAAGGAAGGGCTGCTGGATACCGTTGTGTGAGAAGACACACGTACTACACATGCCAGGGGCCTTGACACTATCCTGGGTGGGGCTAGGCCAGTGGGAAGTAGGAGCTTTGCAAATTGGAAGGGTAACATAGGCAGCCCCGGGGGAGAGAAGGAAGCTCGGGAACAACAACTCTAATGGCCATATGCCCAACAAACACTGTACCACAAAGATGTATCCAAGGGACGCTGGACCCGATTTCCAGCAGGTGTTGCTCCCCACCAATAGATGGAGCCTCCGCGACGGTGCTAGATGTGTCTGCTCTTATCAGCACACCTAGCATCCGATCGGGTTGTTTGGGGGGGAAAAAAAAAATCCCTTTGCTCGAGCGTGGATCGTGACGTCAGTCGTGCAGGAGTCAGAAGGCATCTGTGAAGTATCTGCTACTGAAGTGCTTGCTGAGCCAGAGGTTGTAGGTGTGCATGGGTGGACCACGAGAAGTCGGTAAAGTCTTGTTCTGAAGCGGGAACTCACGGGGACTTTTTTCCAAGGGAGCGGTTCTTTATGGCATAATAACATGTACCCCTCTTTCACTACTGACTGTCGTACTCTCATTTTACTAGTCTTTTCCCATGCCCACTTGCACGGTTCAAAGAGCAGAGCTCCTGCCTACTACTTTGACTCTGATTTAGATCTTCTGTATCTTTGGGGCAGTCCAGACTGTCGTTTCTCGTCAGTGGGGAAAATCTGGAGCCAGGTTACCGTAGAGAGCAGTCTTGGAGCAATCCAGGCTGGTTTCTCGTGAGGTGAGGAAGTGCGGAGCCAGGTAGAGAGGGGCCGTAAGCTAGTAGAGATGCTTCTCCTCCGGCCATTTGTTGTACCCTATAGACTGACATTGGTAACTGTAAGGATGCAAGACATGGGTATGGTAGGGGAGCTACAACGCGGAGCGGGCGGATAGCTGATCACCTTGGAGAAGGGATGCAGGCAGTTACAGGAGATCGTGGGGGAGCTGTCTTTGCTGTCGAAGGAAGAACCAGAGATCGAACGGGGGGTGATCTCTCTGGCTGATTGGTTGAACGACATGGCCAAGGACATGCTGAATATCATTTGGGAGCTGGAGGAGAGGCCGGATCCCCAGCTCGAGGCTTGCATCAATTGGAGGAGGGCAGATAGCATGATGGCTACCTGTAAGGACCTCGTCACTGAGGGTTGCAATCTGCGCAATCTGTTGGAGGAGCGGCTGGAAGGCGAGAAGGACTGGAAGGAGGCGCAGGCAGCGACGAACGTGGCAGCGCCATCATCAGCAGCAACAACAACATCGACATCAGCGACATCGGCAGCAACAACATTAACGATGATGACAACAACAACAACAACAATATCAGCATCGGTGACAACACCAAGACCAGCAATATCATCACAGGGAGAGGGGAAAGCAGATCTGACGATGATGGGGAAGAGGATGGCGGATGCATCTTCTTCATCAGCGCTTTCAACAACGATAATCACGTCCGCAGTGTTACCGGCGGCAACGACAACAAACACAACTACTACAGCATCAACAACCGCAACGGTGACAACAACAACAACAACATCAGCATTGGCAACACTACCAAAACCAGCAATGTCATCGCAGGGCGAGAGGAATGGGGATTTGACGACAATGTGGAAGAGGGGGTTGCAGCTGGAAAAACGTTTTATTTTCTCCTCTCCCTTCTATTTTAAGGCTGAATCACTCCTCGATGTTTGGCAGCCGATGGGTGTAGAATAGTCGATGCCCCCTTTGTTGATTGGAATTGTCCGGCTCACGGTTTCTGGGACGCGGGACCCGGTTTCCAGCACGATCATCTGTTTTGAAGAATCCATGGAAATAATGGGACGCTAGACCCGGTTTCCAGCAGGGAGGTAGGGGCTAGGACGGACTAGGGTGAAGGCCAATGGGACGCTGGACCCGATTTCCAGCACGATCATCCTGAAAAAAATGTACAGGGATGCTGGACCTGATTTCCAGCAGGTGCTGCTCCCCACCAATAGATGGAGCCTTCAATACTGGGGCCAGCTTAAGGAGGATGCTCTTACCACCTCGTTATGCAGGACTCCCGGGGTGTGAAGTTGAAATAAATACATAAATAAATAAATAAATAAATAAATTATAGGTCAATGGAGAGCTTCTGGTCGTTTACTGACAGAAATATGAAAAAGGTGGTAATAAACAGTGTGTTGGCACGAATTCATGCCTTTACGACCACGGTTGAACTTGCGGAAATGCCTCTTTGGTCGCTCTGCAGGGAACTGAGGCTACTGAGATACCCGGTAGAAATATTTTCAGGGACCCTAGGACGGTTCATAGATCAACGGGCACCGGAATGGGAACAGTACAGGGGGATGGGCTAGTAGGCTAACGGATTCCGATCGCGCCAACTGTCTTTAGCAGTTGACCGCCACTCGGCTTCTCACCAAGAGGGTCGCCTACCCCCTGAAGACGTCAGTCTGGCGCCGACAGAAACGTGCGTAGGGGATTTCGCCAGAAGCTCGGTTGCATTAAGGAGTGGGGATGAGGAGGGCAGGAAGTTGAGGAGGATCTGTTGTTATGGCGGTGGGAGACGCAATCGGCTTACGTGGACTTATTGTTGATCTTTTGTTCTAATTTTGGCCCCTCATCTGGGCCCCATGCTTAGGAAGTCTCATTTGTTCAAGTGTGTTCGCGTATGCATGGCGTTTGACTTTGTGCTTCTAAGTTTAGCGATGCGTCAACGTTCGCTCTCTTGCTCTGCTAGTGGTGTTGTAGTTGTCGTTGTCATCATATCTGTTGATGCTGTTGAGCTTGTTGTTGTTCTTGTATGTGTCGTTGATATGGAGGATGCTGTTGCAGATTGCTGCTGACTTCCCATGAGATGACGATGACGTCAACTTCCAGCTGGGCTTTAGTGGTCAAACTCTCCTTCATCACCTCGCAGTACTCTGCGGAGTCTGCGCCTTCGCCAAAACGCATATTGCACCCGGTTATGATAGCCTCAGGCCGCTGCCAATCAACATGCACCGACAACGTTGGATCCTCCAAAAATCTGCCAGAGGGTAGTTTCCAGTTGTCGAGCCTTGTCCGCCAACCATGTGGCCAATCTGCAACCGGCCAGGCCTGGGCAGCAGAGGACAAAACCCCGACAAACTCCTGCATGCGCCGCCACATGGCTTCCAGTTCGGAAAGCCATGTGTACGCCTGTCGTTTGCAGATCTTCTGATGAAAGCATCGCCCCTAGAACCGCCACGTCTTCTGCACTTTGCTCCTCCTGACTTCCGTGACCTCTGTTCTTCACGCAAGAATACCCAGCAATATCAACACGGAAATACCGTCATCTCCCTCCATCCGCCTTCGTCGAATTCAACGCCGGCTATGGCGGTGTCAGCTCACTGGACCGCCTCGAAGTTGTCGAGGGGTCGGAGGCGATCACCGGTGAGCCTTGTCAGCCGGTACCGCTCCGCATGCTCGTGCCTTCAACCTCTTGCCACTACTCCTAATAATAGTCATACAGGGAACCCCATAGCAGCCAGAACCGTGCTCACGAGAGCACGCGCGGGGGCTGCTCCCAACCTGCAGGTGGGCGGTACCAGCCAGGGAAGGGACCATGCCAACAGGACCAATCCCTGTGCCTCCCTTATTATTATTATCATTACAAGTGGACCCGCCGCAGCTACGCTGCGGCAGAGGAGAGGGACGAAGAGGGAGGCAGGGCCGTTGTTGTTACACTGCGGGGTTTTTATTATTATTATTATTATTTTTGTCATCATATTCGCTATACACGCAAAAATCTCTCTCTCTCTCTCTCTCTCTCTCTCTGTCTCTCTCTCTCTGTCTCTCTCTCTCTGTCTCTCTCTCTCTCTCTCTCT